TTTTTTTTTTTTTTTTCCTATTGTGATTTGGGTGAAAGTTTACAGAGCAAATTCACTTTGCAGTTCACACACATGTTGTCTCATGACATTGACTATGATTTACCGCTCCCCTCCCACTTCCTCCTGCTAGTTGCCTCTTCCCTGTGTCCATCCCTCCTTGCGCCCCTGCCCCCTGGGCTGTCTCCCTGTGCATAAACAGCCCTTCTTCCTCCCATGATTGTTCTCTCCAAGCAGTGTATCTACCTCAGGTACACGTTCGGCTCATATGCCTGTGTTTTGTTTGGCTGGAAGCCACAGGTGTGGGTTCAGTTCTAGATCTGAAGGGCAGCTAGGGGCCATAGTCTCAGTGGTTCCACCAGGCTCTATCAGACCAGCAAACCTGGTCCTCTTTTTTTTTTTTTCATGGATAATGTTCTTGATGTCATTCACAGTTCTCTGGTTTTCAGTCATTGGTGTTCAGTGCATCAAATCTATACTTTAGATAGTCTCTAAATTCAGGAGGGTGATGTTGTTGTTGTTATGTGCTGTCAAGTCGGACCTGACTCATGGCGACCCCTCCTTGGGTTTCCAAGGCAGTATTACTACAGAAGTAGATTGCCCGACCTTCCTTCCAGGGAGTAGCTGGTGGGTTTGAACCACCAGCCTTCTGGTTTACACAGGAGGGTTATAATCATGGTCATATTTTGGCTCTCATGGACTTCTTTAAATTGTCTTCAGTTTCAACTTGAACTTGCATATGAGCAGTTGATGGTCTGTTCCACAGTCAGGTCTTCGCCTTGTTTTGGCTGAAAATACTGAGCAGCTCCATTGCCTCTTGCCACAGATGTAGTCAGTCTTATTACTGTGTACTCCGTCTGGTGAAGTCCACGTGTACAGCTGCTGTTTGTGTCATTGAAACAAGGTATTTGCGATGAACAAGTTGTTGGTCTTGCAAAATTCTGTCATGCAATCTCCAGTGTCATTTCTATCACCAAGGTCATATTTTCCAACTAGCGGTGATTCTTCTTCTTTTTTTTTTTTATTAGGATTTGGGTGAAGATTTACAGAGTAAATTCACTTTTCATACAGCAGTTCACATATACTTTGTCTCATGTCATTGACCAAAATTTACAATGCAGCAGCTCCCCTCCCACTTCCTCCCCATAGTTACCTCCTCCCAGTGTCCGTCCCTTCATACTCTTCTGCACCCTGAGCTATCTCCCTGTGCATAAGCAGCCCTTCCTTCTCCCATGAGTGTTCTCTCCAGGGCATGTGTCTACTTGAGGTAAATGTTTAACTCACATGCCTGTACTTTGTTTGGCTGGAAACCACAGTTGTGGGTTCAATTCCAGACCTGAAGGGCAGCTAGGGGCCATAGTCTCAGTGGTTACACCAGGCTCTATTGGACCAGCAAACCTGGTCCCCACCTTCTTTTTTTTTGCCTCCAAATGATTTTGAGTTTTGTTCCACATTGTTCTCCCTCTTTATGCAGGATCTCCTACATCCCTTCCAAGTGGATGGCAGTGGTAGCTGGACACCATCTAGTTCTTCTGGTCTCATAGTTGTATAGGTTGCAGATCGGATGGTGTACCAGTCGCTAGGACTGATTGTTTCCATTAATTTTGGTTTTCTTCTTTCTTCTTGATGAGGAGAGACCCGTTGTTGCATCTAGATGGCAGCTTCCTAGCTTTTAAGGTCCCAGTCGCTACTCGCCAAAGTAGTAGGTGGATAGCGGTGATTCTTCTTTGTTTTCAGCTTTTGTGTTCCAATCACCAGTGATAATTAACACATCTTGATTGCGTATTTGGTCACTTTCAGACTGCAGAAGTTGGTAAAAATCTTCAATTTCCTCATCTTTGGCTTTGGTGGTTGTTGTGTAAATTTGAATAATGGTAGTGTTAACTGGTCTTCCTCATAGGCATATGGGTATTATCCTATCACTGACATCATTGTCCTTCAGGCTAGATCTTGATACATTCTTCGTAACAATGAATACCACGCCATTCCTCTTTAAATTATCATTCCTGGCATAGTAGATCATATGATTGTCTAATTCAAAATGGTCAGAGCCAGTCTATTTCAGCTCACTAATGCCTAGAATATCAATCTTTATGCGTTCCATTTAATGTTTGACAGCTTCCAGTTTTCCTAGATTCATAATTTGTACGTTCCAGCAACTTGCCTAATATACCCCAGACTCGTGAGTGTGGTCTTGGAGTTCTCTGTGGCCATTACAGCACATTTTGAACCTGGCTGAGGAAGAGTGAGTACGTGAGAGGGACAGCTGGCGTCAGAACTGGCCAATAGACAGGCGAGAGCAGGCCTGTCTGACTGCTTTCTCACAGGGACCAATCTTGTGCTGTTGATCTTGATTCTACCACTTTGGAAGTTAGAGGAGGTCAGGTACTGACCCTGTGCCATTTTTATGGTGGAGCGGCATCTTGTGACCACCTCCAGTCTCGTGAGGGGGAAACAGAGTCACCATCGATAGCCCAAGGCTTGTTCCTATGAGGTCAGACATACCGCCACCCTCCAACCTTTCTGCCAATTCTGACACCAACCATCCCTCCCACGGCGCTCACTACTTCTCTTCTGGGTTCCATAACTTGTTGCAATGGCCACACAGACCTGCACAGACAATACTGATGATTGTGGGGCTTATTAGGGAAGTAACAGGCTACACCTTATAATCAGGAACGTACTCAGGATACGATTCTTCGATCAGGACAGTCTTCCTTCTGCTGTGCCCTCAGGCACGTCTCTCTGGCCCTTGGCCTCTCGGCCTGGCCTCTGCCCTGCTTGGGAAAGTGTGACAGAGCTCTTTTAGCTCTGCTGATAGGTACACCTAGGTGTACCCCACTGCGCCAACAAGTCTCCTGCCTGTGGACTCTCGGCTGTCTTGCTCTGTGGGCCTGCAAGTCTGCTGCTGTCTTGTACTTCTTAGTTCCACTACTGCCGTGTCTTAGCCAGGCATCTCTCTCTACTGGGTGTCTCTGCCGGGCATCTCTGCTGGGTGTCTCTGCCGTTCACCTCTGGCAAGGAGGTCCAGGGAAGGGATCTTGGGTCCACAGATGTGTCTGCTCACCTCTAGCTGGTCTCTCTTGATGGCAGTGAGGTCCCCTGTCTGCCTTGGGGAGGCCTCACTGTAAGCCTGGCAGGATGACAGAACTGATCAGTCTCCACGTCAGGGTTCCATACACCTTATTTCCACGGTCCCACTCCCACGAGGATGCCATGTACTTTATTTACATCACTAACAAGCTATCCAGTCCCCTTGGTGGGCCACAAACACCTCACATTTGCATAGTCCCACCCAGTCATGTCATGGGAGTCACAGAGACCACGGCTAGAAGGGCCTGACCAGGTCATTCCCTGTATCCCACTAACTCCACCCCTGCTCCCAACAGCTTCACGGTGTTCTTCAGGGTGGGCTTGCTTATCGGCTTTTGCCTGGGTGAGCCCTCTCCTGGAGGCCTCTTGTCAGCTTGGCCCAGCTGTTTCTGAGCCTGCTGCACAGTGGCTGCCCCGGGATCTTTCTGATGCTCCCTCCCTCCATCTCTCTTTGGTGTCACACGTGGCTTCCAAATATCACGTCCTCCTTCTTGGTTTATAGTCTCACATCTTTATGGGGCCTTCCCTTGGTCACTTCCTGAGAAAGGCCCAAGGGCTGGTGAGTTTCTCATCAGGGAGCGTGTGTGTTCTTGACTTATGTTGGGTGGGTAGTGCTCCGGCTGGCACTCATTTTCCCCGGAGTGTTGGCAGCATGACTGCATTGTTTTCTGCCTTCCGTGGTGGTGTTCAGAAGTTGGATCTTTCGCACATATTGTCTGGTTTCTCCTGAAACCTTTGGGCTGTTCTCTTTGTCCCGGGGTTTCAGGTTTCCTGGTGATGTGCTCGGGGTGGCGGTTTATTTGTTGTGTTGGGTACGTGTTGTGTAAGACTGGAATACCTGTGATTTTTGCTCCGTGCCATGTCTGGGCTACGGAAGTGCCATGCATGGTCAGAAACAAGCCCCAGATGTTTGTGGGAGCGTGGCAAGGGGCTTTAGGTGACCCTGTCTGCTGCCACTGCCCAGGGAGCACCTGGAAGCTTGTGTGGCCCTCAGACATGCCCCCCTACCCCAGGGCTCCATCCTCAGTTTGGTGATGAACCTTGTCTGCCTTCAACGATAATTTGTCACCTTGGGGGACCAAAGGCTGAGCGTTCTTGCTTGTGTGTTTCATGGTCCGGAGTTACTCCTATGTTTCCTGTGTCTTGCTTTTTCACTCTGTCCCTTTTGTGGGCCCCGTCCCTGCTGTCTCATGTGGCTGGACTCACTGTGTGAGTGGGCCGTGGTGGTGCGAGTTGGCAGAGGTAGTGTGATCTGTCTACTGTGGATGGGGTGGGTTTTTTTCTGATTTTTACTGTAGTGAGCACCGTCTGGTGTGTATGCACTCAGGTTTGTAGGCTGCATGCCTACAGGTTGTGGCCAGGTCCCAGGAGGGGTGTGCACATAGCATGTTAGTCACACAGGGACGCCCAAGATGAGAGGGACAGTAAGGTATGGATACGGGATGCAGACAGACGGGACTCTTCTGAGGGTTGGGGGACACACATGCAGAACAAAGGCAGACGGGACTGTCCTGAGCGTCGGGGATGCAGATGCAGGATGCGGGCGGACATTACTGTCCTGATGGTCCGGGGGACATGAATGCAGAACGCGGGCGACGGGACTGTCCTGAGAGTCGGGGACACGGATGCAGGACGTGGGTGGACGGGATGGTCCTGAGGGTCAGAGGACACGGATGCTGGTTGCGGGCCGACGGGACTGTCCTGAGCAGACTGACCTTGTCACGAGTGTGTGCATCCGGGTGATGCAGGCGGACCCGTGGGGTGGCTGTGCGGCCTCCCTCCACCAGCATCCAGCGTCGCTTGCCCACTCCTCGTGGAGTGCAGTGTGGGTGGTGGGTGCTGGTGGACTGCTCTCACCGGCTGTGGCCTGTGAGAACCTCTGCACGGAGAGCTCACTCCCACCTTCTCAGATAAGAAGGCCGAGATCGACATCCTGGCCGCCGAGTACATCTCCACAGTGAAGACCCTCTCCCCGGACCAGCGCGTGGAGCACCTGCAGAAGATCCAAAATGCCTACAGCAAATGTAAGGAGTACAGCGATGACAAGGTGCAGCTGGCCATGCAGACCTACGAGATGGTGAGGGGCATGCGGGGGGCGGAG